CAAGTGTTAGAGTATTGTATGTTTGGGAGGACATGGAAAACAACAGGATGCTCTTGTGGATGATAGATCGCCAGGTAAGGTTTTTTTCCAATTAAAATATTCAACTTCTATTAAAAGTTTAATTTTGTAAATAATACCATTACCATTTTGTTATTTACACCAGAGAGAAAAAATATTAGCAATCATACCTCGCCATTTAGTGCCCGGATATCGAAACATGAATCTGAAAGGAAATGTATTCTCTGTGCAACATTTCCAAGTTGATGAATACCATTTGGACAATCCAATGTACCAACAGTACAAAATCTGCACCAGTGATAAGGCGATAATGATAAACCATGCCACAACTTTTACTCGTTAGCAAGCGATTTTGCCAGTGGATATCCACTTTATCCAATTGTGTCTACTGTCACAACTGTTGCACAAGATCATACAAATAAAAGAAGGCTTGTTGGTATATTTATATCTTTTCTTTAATCATTTTTATATCATCTACTATAAATTTAACAAGAAAATATGTTTTTTAGATGTGGTTGGAAGAATAGTATGGGGAAATCGAATCAGACAGCTGCGATCATTTGAGTTAATTCTCCAAGATGAGACGTAAGTATATATGTATTCAAAAAAACTTAAAACAACATAGTTTTTTATTAAATTTATTATCATTCATTATAAGAGTTTAAACAGCATTACCTTTTAATAGGGGGAACGTAACAAAGTTATTGTTGTATAACGTACCAGCAAACCTTATGATTAAGGTTATTGTTGCAACATACAACAAATCCATACTCTATGTTTCTTGCATGAAGCTGGTCCACAACAATTTGGGTCAGTTAAAAAATATGATCAGTATATAATTTATATTAATATCAACATATTCCAAATTGTAAATACATATTATTAAATTTTATGCCACATGTTTCATGTTTTTGCAGGTAATTTATTGGTTTCTACTGTTTTAACCGACTTTGATGTTGAACCACAAATGTATGAAGCTGATAGGATTAGAGCTAGATATTGATGAGAGTATTAGAAAAAGATTTTCTTGAAAACTTTTTTAATTCCCGTGTTTTCAATTCAGTTGTGGAACTTTTAACACATATGGTTTTACCACATTATATCTTTTATCAGTTTTAAGTTTTATTATTGGTTTTGTTAATTTGTTAACTTTTCATTCGTGAATGTGGTGTTTTTATTTTCTTTTGACTTACTATATATATATATATATATATATATATATATATATATATATATATATATATATATATATATATATATATATAATTGCTTGTAACTGGTATTGGTTTCATATCGATGGATGTGGATTCGCATATGAAATCAATTGTGTTCGCATATATGAAATCAGTTCGCATATGACATCAATTGAGTTCGCATTTGGTTTTGTGGGTCAAAACAGTTCGCATAAGAAGTTCACGATTTGTTTGAGGTTAATTGATTTTGATTTCGCAAGCTTGGAGTCGGAGATCTGGATTGTGTTCGCATCTATGGAATGCGAGGAGAATTTAATGGTGATATTCAGTTCGCATTTGGTGACACAAGTACGTGGTTGATGATTTTTGGTTGGTTCGCATTTGAAATCAGTGGGTTTCGCATTTGGGTTCGTATCTGGGTTTCTCAAACAACTGAAATGCGAATATGAGACAACTGATTAATTTCTCAGTTAATGCGATGAAATGCGAATGAACTCAAAGACGGATGGATGCAAGATGCGAAGAATTGAATGAAAATGCGAAGTTTTTAATGTATAAATGCGAATTGGGGAAGAAAGTTAGAGTTTCGCATTTGGCACCTGATCTTTTCAAGAAATAATATAAGTGGTCCAACTTCGCAAAATGGGGTCATAAAAAGACAAGTGCAGAATTTTCATTTCGCATCCCTGTAGTTGGACCACTTATATTATTTCTTGAAAAGATCAGGGGCCAAATGCGAAACTCTTAGCTTTCTTCCCAATTCGCATTTATACATTAAAAACTTCGCATTTTCATTCAAGTTCTTCGCATCTTGCATCCATCCGTCTTTGAGTTCATTCGCATTTCATCGCATTAACTGAGAAATTAATCAGTTGTCTCATATTCGCATTTCAGTTGTTTGAGAAACCCAGATACGAACCCAAATGCGAAACCCACTGATTTCAAATGCGAACCAACCAAAAATCATCAACCACGTACTTGTGTCACCAAATGCGAACTGAATATCACCATTAAATTCTCCTCGCATTCCATAGATGCGAACACAATCCAGATCTCCGACTCCAAGCTTGCGAAATCAAAATCAATTAACCTCAAACAAATCGTGAACTTCTTATGCGAACTGTTTTGACCCACAAAACCAAATGCGAACTCAATTCATGCAATTCCTATTTTTTTTTTTTAAGAATCTACAAAAATAATAATTAAAATTGAATTACATGTAAAACCAATTCAAAACAAAAAATCTTATTTTGTTTCCCGGTATAATTTTGAATACTTTTCAACTAATAAGATAAAAGTAAATCAAAATGGATTACGAATTTTCAAATTTTATTATAAATATACACATAAGTATGAACTATATGTAATCCTTTCATAACAAACTTTTAACCTATATATATATATATATATATATATATAGAGAGAGAGAGAGAGAGAGAGAGAGAGAGATATTTGCGTAGTAGATGAACCATAGGCGCCAATTGCAAACATATTCTATAATTATAATTTAACATATAAGAAGGCTTCATCGGTTCTACAGTCTGCTACTGCGTATGTTTACTATTTACGATTTTTACTTTCTCGATTATACACCATTCACACTCACTTTGTGTTCCTTTGTACATGCATAAACTACATATATTCTATCGGCTTCACAAAAACCATCTGCTCTATCGGATTCATCAAAATCAAACAGGTATGTGTATTTAACTTTAAATTATCTCTTATTCAAGTACTATATGATGAAAAAGTCTACTATTTATAGTATTTTTTTAGTTAGATGCAACGTGTTTCAAAGTAACTAGCTTCACCTAAGAAAAGAAGTATCATCAAACCAATATATGTCGGCAACTCAAGCATCATCTCCTTATAGACCATTCACATTACCAGAAACACATAAATAAAATCTGGTTTTGATCTAAACTATTATAACAAAAACAAATGGTAATAAATTTCGTATTTGAATAATCATACTTTTTGATTTGTTATGTATAAAATAAAGTATACATTTTTTTGTGTGTTTTACAGTTTGCAATGAGGTTTGACGGTAAAGAAAATAAACATAATAATGTTATCCAAATTGATGCAGAAAATACAAAAGGTATATCACATATTTACAATCATTATTAGTATATCATCGTTATACATTATTCATTTAAAAAAATATTGCAGAAAAACGAAAAGCATATAATAAGGCATGTTACGAACGACGAAAGGAGAAAAACAAAATGAGACGAATAGCTAATGGGGAAGGAAATAGTCAAAACGCAACATTTTTGTCAAATGTGCCAACAGTAAATAGGAATCTGGTGGATATTACCAATGCATCTCCTACATGTGTAATGGATTTTGGTCAAAAAAAGTTGATTTATAATAGAAACCCTTATCAACGTCAGACGGAACCAACCATAACAAAACCAGGTAACTATGTCTGAAGTTATCATATTACAATCTAAGTAGTACAACATTACATTTAACCATAATCTTTCATAATTTACATTCTTAATGAGAAATTTTTGTTTATACGTAGGTATTCAAAGTCAGCCTGACGTAATACTACCTCCACGCGATGAATTGATAACTCAAATTTCAACATCAATAGGTCAGTATTTGATTTTTACCGAAAAATATCATATATATTGGCTAATAATTATGTGTAATTATTTTAATTTTATTTATATTACATTTAACTAATGAATAAAATGTCTACAGATCCACAAGGTTGTATCCATGGCAATGTCACTCCATCAGTACAAAATGGTAGCATCTCGGATGATCCATATAGTTTTGTTTTCGCCGGTATCCGTAAAAAACATCGTGTGGTGAAGTTCAATGATATATGTAGTTATTGTGGGGCAAAACGACTACAATTTGAATCTGCTGGCTTTTGTTGCATGAGTGGAAAGACAAAGTTGGCAGACTCATCTATTCCTGACGAATTACACAATCTTTTCACCTCAGAAACAAAATTAGGCAAATTGTTTAGAAAGAATATACGTGCATACAACACCAACTATTCATTTGCATCAATGGGCGTAGAAGTGGATGAATCGATGGCCAATATGACATCTGGGGTATACACTTTTTGTGTGAATGGAGGGATATACCATAGAATCGATCAGTTAGTTCCAAGGAAAAAGGATGAACCTAAGTTCTTACAATTGTATTTTTACGATGTTGAAGCTGAGATGTCAAATAGACTCGAATGGAAGAATCTTGCTAAACCAATTGTTGAAATTTTGACTCGCGTTCTTGCTACAAACCCATACGTTGCAATATTTCGTAGCCTTGCTGATCTAGGACCGCTCGACAATTACAGAGTCACTTTAAATGCATCAGTAGAACTAGACCAAAGGGTGTACAACCGGCCAACCACATCCGAGGTTTGAAATTAATTATGTACATATGTTTTTGAGAAAAAAGATGTTTCATGTATTAAATATAACTATGCAAATTACGTACCAGTTTTAATCATATTTTTTCTATTGTATAATTTCACAGGTTGCTGGTATTTGGATTGAAGGCAATGACAACATAACCGCATATAAAAGAAGTATTATAGTATATGGAAGGTCCGACAAACCAAAAACAATTCAATCTTATTGGGGATGTTATGACCCATTGTGTTATCCTTTATTCTTTCCAAATGGTGAGCCTGGATGGCATTCTAACATACTAAGGCAAGGGGTTTCATTCAATGAGATGGTTAATGACGACCAAATCTTCGATGAAGATCTAGAAGGTACGCATAGCCACAATTTTAATATTGTTAAATTTTACAAATGTAAAAATTGATATAATTTATTCAATTTAATCATTATGTAGAGACTGATATAAGAACGGGTAGGAAAACTGTAACTATGCGGGAGTACTACTGTTACAAGTTGCAGATTCGATCAAACTTGAACGTAATTATGTTAGGAGGGAGATTATTACAACAATTTGTGGTAGATATCTACATCAAGATTGAGACTTCGCGTTTGGAATTTTGTAGAAAAAACCAATCTACAATAAGAGCGGAGTTATACCAAGGTGTTGTGGATTGTGTCAATGCCGGTGAGGTACAAGCAAGTATGATTGGGCAACGTGTTGTTTTGCCAGCAAGTTTCATCGGAGGTCCTCGTGACATGCGACGACGATTTCTCGATGCTATGGCTTTAGTTCAAGATGGAGGGAAACCTGATATATTCCTTACAATAACGTGCAATCCGAATTGGCCTGAAATCCAAAATGAGTTACTTCATTTTCAAACAGCACAAGATAGACCAGATCTGGTTGCAAGAGTTTTTCGTGCTAAGTTACATGACCTTAAGGAACAACTCTTGAAGAGGCACGTCCTTGGTGTGGTGAGTGCATATGTTTATGTAATAGAGTTCCAGAAACGTGGTTTACCACATGCTCATTTTCTCTTAATAATGAAACCTGAATGGAAGCTCACCAATACAGACCATTATGACAAGTATGTGTGTGCCGAAATTCCAAACCCGACAAAGTATCCTATACTACACGATCTGGTCAAATCACACATGATACATGGTCCTTGTGGTACATTAAACAAAAAATGTTCTTGTATGCAAGGTGATCCACCAACCTGTCGTTTTAGATACCCTCGACAATTCAACGAAGCCACAACACAAGGAAAGGACACATATCCGGTTTATCGAAGGAGAGATAATGGAATTGCTGTGAATAAACAAGGTATTATGATGGATAATAGATGGGTTGTCCCATATAACCCAAAGTTGTTGATGATGTTCAACTGCCATCTAAATGTTGAGGTTTGCTCGAGTATAACATCAGTGAAATACATCTTTAAGTATATTTACAAGGGTCATGACAAGCAAGTTATCCATATTGATCCAGATGCACAACCTGTTGTTATCAATGAGATAAAACGTTTTCAGGATGCACGATACGTCTCCGCTCCAGAAGCAGTATGGCGAATTTTTAGCTTTTCTCTTAATCAAATCCACCCTAATGTGATCACTTTGCAATTGCATCTTCCAAACCAACAGTTGGTTAGGTTCACTGATGATGATGCAATGAAATCAGTTGTTGAGAGGGAGAAAGATAAGAGATCAATGTTGACTGCATTTTTCAAGATGAATAAAGATAACGTTAATGCAAGAGAATATTTATACAAAGATTTTCCCAAACACTTCACATGGAATAAAGAATCGCGTCTATGGAATCCTCGAAAAGTATCACGAGCAGTTGGTCGTTTGGTTTCTGCAAATCCTGCTGAAGGTGAGCGATACTATCTACGTGTGTTATTATGTCATGTTAGGGGTCCTACATGTTTTGAAGATCTGTACACAGTCAATAACGTAAGACATCCCACATTTCGAAAAGCGGCTCTTGAAAGAGGGTTAATAGAGACAGATGATAGTTTATCGCAGTGTCTTGTAGAGGCCTCCTTGTTTCAGTTTCCAAATGCTCTCAGAAGGTTGTTTGCAACGATATTAGTTTTTTGTGATCCTGGAGATGTTCGCAAGATATGGAATTCCCACTACAATTCTCTCTCCGAAGATTATAGTAGACAATACGATAATGTCAATCGAGTACAAAATATGGTCCTTACAGACATAAGCGTATTCCTACAGTCTATGGGTAACAAGCTTGATAACTTTGATCTCCCGACTGTAAACACCGATTTGAATTTTCAGTCTGGAGTTTTTCGAGAGGTACAAGAAGAATGCTCTATAATTGTGGAAGATGACCATTTGCGTGCCAAAGAGTTTCTCAATCCTGAACAAAAATATGCATATGATGAGATCATGAGGCATGTGTGTACTGATTGTACAGGAGTGTTCTTCATAGATGGTCCTGGCGGAACAGGAAAAACATATCTGTACAAAGCTTTACTTGCTAATATACGCAAACTTGGTCATATTGCACTCGCCACAGCTTCATCGGGTGTTGCGGCTAATAACATGCCTGGGGGGAGAACAGCTCACTCGCGTTTCAAACTTCCTCTAACTCCAGATAATAACTCATTCTGTAGAATCCAAAAACAAAGCGGTACCGCTCAACTACTTCGGCTTGCAAAAATAATCATATGGGATGAGGCATCGATGGCAAAGCGACAGGTGGTGGAGGCGTTTGATCGGACAATGCAAGATATCACTGGGGTGGCACTCCCTTTTGGTGGAAAGATAATGGTTCTGGGAGGCGATTTTAGACAAGTATTGCCAGTCGTAAGACGTGGGACACGAGCACAAATTGTAGACTCTAGCCTACGAATGTCGCCTCTTTGGTCTTCGATTATAAAGTTGCGGTTAACAATAAATATGAGAGCACTTACTGATCCATGGTTCTCAAACTTTCTATTACGGGTTGGTGATGGAGTTGAAGAAACAGTGGACGGAAGTTTTATTCGCATCCCTGATGATATGGTCATTCCATACACTGATAAAGAAAAATCATTAGATTCTTTGATTGATGCAGTGTTTCCCTCATTGGAATTTAATAGGTCTGAATCAGATTATATCATATCGCGGGCAATATTATCTACAAAAAATGATAGTGTCGATGCGATTAACGATTACATGATCGATCGATTTCAAGGAGAAGAGAGAATTTACTATAGTGTCGATGAAGCCATAGATGATAAAAATGGCTTCTATCCGTTGGAATTCTTAAACTCGATCAGTGTTAGTGGTTTACCTCCGCATTACCTTCGATTAAAAGTTGGATGTCCGATAATACTGTTACGGAATATTGACCCAGCAAATGGGTTGTGTAATGGCACCCGATTGATATGTAGAAGCTTTCAGCAAAATGTTATTGATGCAGAAATAGCTGTTGGTCAACATGCAGGAACAAGGATATTTTTGCCTAAGATTCCTTTATGTCCATCTGATGATGATATGTTCCCATTCAAGCTAAAGAGGAAACAGTTTCCTATTCGATTGTGCTTTGCAATGACAATCAATAAAGCTCAGGGACAAACAATTCCATATGTAGGTATCTATCTTCCAGAACCAGTATTCTCGCATGGACAACTTTATGTTGCATTGTCCAGAGGGGTTTCACGTTGCAATACAAAAGTATTAGTACAGCCTAACGAAAATTCAAAAGGTGATGGGGTTTATACAGCAAATGTGGTGTATAAAGAAGTATTGCACGATTAATATTTTGTATTGTCTTGACTGGTTGCTTTTTATTGGTTATTTGATGCATGATGTAACAAATAACACCATAGTTTGATTATATTGTCTTCAACATGTACTTTTTTTTAACATAACAATTTTGTAATGGAAACATATCACCGAAAGAACTCACGTGCCCCGCCGCTTTGCGCGGGTAGACGGTTAGGATATATATATATATATATATATATATATATATATATATATATATATATATATATATATATATATATATATATATATATATATATATGGTAAAGAAGTCAAAAAACTGTGTACTATTGAGCCTATGGCAGTGAAAGCAGTATTCATGTTTTTATAAAACTTAAAAGAACAAGAATTTGGAACATATATGATGCATATAGAGACAAGAGATGGCATCATTAAAAGAAGATAGTGTGTGGCTAGAAATGTGCTTCCTTTAAAACCTAAATAAATTGACCACAAACCCAAGATATATACATCAGCTTGACCTACATGAGCCAGTGATTTTGTGACTACACCAAACTAGCAAATACTAAAAAAATTTCCATGATGCGATTACAGAACCACAAGGTGCCTCCCTGTGAAATTACTTTTCAAATGTCATTACAGATGAATGGATATGTTTACACTTTTTAGGTCAAACCTTAGACTTTCAAATTCGAAATTAACCTGGATGATCTACCAAAATATAACCTAAAACTAGTTTATGAGAGTAGGAATTTCATAAACTTAACCTTTTCAGTGCGACAATTTGGTTGACAGTTGTGATTTATAAAACGACCCAAGTTTCCTTTAGCACAAGCATCTATAACATGAAAATAAAAACAATAAAAAAGAAACCATGTGAATATACCTTTATGATAGGAATCACAAGCGCCACTAGTTATATTTTCAGTTTTTTTATTGTTTTTAAGCTATCCAATTTTATTTATTATATTAAGAAACCTATATTAGTTGTTGGGTGATTTAACGGATGTATGAGTTGCAACCGAATGACAACTAAAACTCCAGCTTCTTCACAAGCTGCAAAGTGCTAAAGCAGACAAAACATAATTAATAATCAGATTCAAGTATATGCTATGAGTAAGTAATAAAGTACATATAACACAATAAAGTATGATTAAGGTACCTATGACTTTAAATATTATTTACGTTATTCTTCTTCTAAAAGTATGGAGCCAAATATTTTATGTTATTCTTCCATTATTTTATTATTATTATTTTTATTGGAGGGTTTTTTAGACATTTGAAGTACCTAGAATCCGGATAGTCCCTTTTAATCGGGAGTGGAAATAGTTTTGCCCTTTACCAAATTATAGGATAACAATATTAGTTATTTACAAAAACAGTTAAATAACAAAAAATGATTAGTATAATTTTTATATACCTTTACAATAAAAATATTACATGAGGAGACCTCTTCCCAATACTTTTTGTGCCCACTGTCAAGATACAACACATCTGAATAACCTTTTGCTTTTGCTGCACCTTTAAAACCTACACACATTATTTTATATAAAAACATTAGAAATCTTTTTATATACGATATTTAGGGGTTTTTTCTTTTTACTTTCCGAGCTTAATGTGTTAAACACTCAATCTGTAAGATTTATCTTGGTTTTAAATAGCTTAAAGCGCCCCAAAGCGCTTTAGGCTTTGGGAGCAAAAGCGCTAATCCTTAATTAATCATAAAAACTAAGAATTAGCAAGAACACCTATCCCGGATTCAAGACTAAACAATGATCTACCAAGTTTTTTCCTCCTACAAACAATTGGTATAAAAACCGTTAGAATCCCATTGAGAGCTTAATGAGAAAATATATATTATGACACTTAATTGTTACCCTTGTAAAAGATATATTCATCAGAGATTGACTTTCCAACAAAGTCAAACAACTTCTGAGCATTTCTATTAAGGCGAACTTCATCATGAGCTTGTTGTAGCCAGAAGATTCCGGAACCTTTTCTACCATGCTTCCAGTGATGCATTCCAGCAATCTGTTAATAAATCATTTATAGAAAACATTGATTTAATAAAATTACCTTCGTATCATTTGGACTTACACTATCAAGACTATATAAACGACATATCTCAATATTCTGTTTGCAGTACAAAAGTAATTGAACATTATGTCTTTCTTCTTTTAAAAAAATTTCTACTTGAATATTGTCAGGTGTCAGTAACTCTGTAGCATGAGCAATCATCCTATTATCACAAAAAAATATTATTATAAAATATTAAAAGTTATGTGATTAAAAATTACAGATTCGCTCACCAGTGACCAAATGATTTTAAGCACTCTGCCAATATAACCTAAAAAAAGTAACAAATTAGAGATCTCGTTAATAATAATTTGTTGAAGTATATGAGATGAGGTGGTTGAACCCCACTTTGCAAGCCCAAAATCGGAGAGCTGAATCAACAAAAATTGTTTATAAAGTTTAGTCATTTACTAAAATTAAATAAATGATTAATAAATAGTAAATCACCTGTGGTTCAAAATCATCATAGAGTAAATCACCTGTGTTTCAAAATCATCAGAGAGTAAAATATACAGTTGATGTGTAGATAAAAAAAAGTGCCTCAGCTACACCTAGAGCACCTTTATACCTTTCAGACCATCCAAATGCAAGATATTTCTGGTTGCCTAAAAGATAATATTATGAAATAAGAAAAATGAAAAAACATGATTCCAAGTGTATGAGATTTGTGTTGTTTTTAAATGTAAAGGAACATACTGTGTAAATTGTCTTCAAGGCTTCCTCTTGATAGGAAATCATAAACTAAGAGGAGATTGTTGTCTTCAAAGCAAAACCCAAAAAGGGAAATGATATTTTGATGATTCAGAGCAATAATAATCTCAATTTCTAACACAAATTCTTTCAAGACATCTTCAGATGATTTCAAGATTTTAAAAGCTATTTCCTTCCCATCATGTTCTCTGAAAAGATTTTAACAGCTATTTCAAAAAGGGAAGACATCCTTTGTAAACCTTACTATTCCCTCATTTTCCTATCATGTTCTCTGAAAAGGTTCAAGAAAAGTAAATCAGCAATGATAATCTACATAAATATTATTTCGAGATAACAAATAGAACACAAACCAGGTTTGAAGTTTGATGTTGCTGATAGAAGCTCTTGATACTGAAACAATCTACAAGTGGCTGAGTATTTTTCATGAAGACCCTCTAATTCTTTTGGTAAAAGAATTGAATCATAATATGGGGAAGAAGATGGATCAGATTGAAATTCATCATCACCCACACAAACAATTGCTCCATTTTCTGGTATTCCGTCATTTTGGTCATAATTTTGGGAATCTGAGTTTGTGATTTCAAAGCAATGTCTAGTGGGAAGCCTCATATCCCACTGAACCATAGAGATCTGGTGGACACGTGATTTATCAGATGAAATGTACTCACCGGCTCCCCTAAATAAATAAATAAACCTAAATTTAACAAAAGTTTGACCTAAATCACAAAAAAGAGAGAGCAGGTTTTCCACAAGGTACATAATCGCATAGCCCTTACTCGAAATATCAAATACTCTTGAATCATCGAGATTGGGATTCAGTAAATTACACAAAAACGAAATAAACACGATATATCTCAAGAAAAGTTGTAATCATTCAAGAAAATAAAATTTTAAGTGGCAATTAAATCTATTAGGTAATATTTAGGAACGAAACTAACCGCGATAATGAACCAGAGATCGAGAGGCCATTGACTCGAAATTAGGTTTTTGCTTCCGAAATTAGGTTTTTGGTCCAGAGCCACTCGTACTTCCTCCTCCGAGTTCTGTACCAGAATATACACACATGGACTCGAAATTAGGTTTTTGCTCGCGGCGATAGTCACAGAGCGCCGGAATCTGATTGTTGTCGGAAAGTTATATAAGGATTTTGTAAGGTTTAACAGTGAGGACAGTGTGAGAGAGAAATGGTGATGATGGATGAAGTGTTAGTCGATAAGGCCGATACGTCGTCGTCGTGCAGGCCTGAAGAGTCGGTGTAGGTTGGAGGTAGTGGAGATGGGTGAGGGGTGGAGACGAAGGAAAGGAGATATTAGAGAACAGATCATCGAAACAAACGTAGGAGAAGAAAGCGGCGTTTAATATGTTTGGGGATTTCATTTTCCCTCTCAAAAGAGAGACGCGCGTTTCTTAAAAAATATAAAACGACATTCACTGAGGACGCATATTTTATATAAAGTGCCCTCCGTGTTTTTTATTTTTTTTACATGAGACACTAATTTAAGGGCACGCAATAATGCGTGATCTAAATCCTTAAATTTTTTGAACAGATGACACATTGTTAGTATCACTCTCTTTTGCGTAACATAAATCAATGAGTGTCGTGGTTTGCGCGTCATAAAAAGCTCTTTTTCTTGTAGTGTCTGTATACTTACTATCTATGCTGGATGAACGATTTTATACAAGTTTTATATGATTTAAACTATATATGTATTTATATCTACATAATATGTTGGGTAAAACATGGGTAGGTGAAATATGAGTTAGATGATGAGTTGAGAGGTGATATAGTACCATGAGGTAAGGGTGAGAGGTGAACGATGTGAGAAGCCTTGTTCCTAAATGTTGGCCCCATTATCTAGCAGAGTATGGATGACCACCACGGACTATTCTAGACAGTCTAGTTGAACACTAGAAGGCTCACAACTTGTAGGTGTTGTAAACGATGTGTTCACCGGTATACTCTAAAAAAACCCATTGACATGTATTGTGAGTGGATTCTCAAAAATGATATTGTCAATAAACGAGATAACCCTAGCAGTTGTGCTCGAAGGACAATACTGGCAGTTGCGCCTCATATAGAATGTCATAATTCTGACAAATGCGCCTAAGTGATAGAACTAGCAGTTGTGCTTGACAGCTGTGTCATTGACAATGATGGACTTCGTATCCATTCCTTAGGATAATCCTTAGGAATGAATGAATGAGAAATAGCTGATTCTTAGGGTAGATCGTTAATAGTAAAGAAGATAATGGGGATGGGTAATTGGGTTAACTATTTGATGATTAAACATAATAATTATATTATTGTGGGTTGAAATCCTTATGTACTCACCAGGTTTCCCAACCTGGCCCATTCAGTTTATTTATACCATAGGTGTTGATATGAAATCACATTACACTGAGAGAATAAGGAGATGTAAATCACTAGTGACAATGAATGTAAATTCTGTTTATGCTTATGTTTCTGTATTGACGATGACATCCCAAATGTGTTAAAATGAATAAAAATACTTTTCTTCAGAAATGCTTTGATAACGTATTTATCATGTTTTACTGGGAACAAATTCCGCAACATTTTTATTAAAAGAGGTACTCTGATTTTTATAAAGTATAAACAAAATCGTTCTTTTCTGACCGTAAAAATGGGGATGTCACAACACTGTATAAAAAAAACAATATATAAAGGTTAATCATAAGTTATTTATGTAATATCAACATATAAGTTATAATGTGGACTAAACTACGAACGTTAGTAATATTGAGAATACATTGACAATCAGGTGCATGCAAATGCCTCATCCTAGTGTATGCAATTGACCGAGGGATAACACCCGGTATAGGGGAACCATCAATACAATTGTTGGAAAATGTCTCTAAGAGCCAAATCTACAAAATTAAGATGACAAACAACTTACCAAGTTAACAAAGATATAATAACTGGTGTTTAAAAACTCCTATTAAGCATAGTGTACATACCTTAAATGCATAGACAAATCCCTAGAGAGTATATGTGTGTCTACTGTCAATTCTGGGCGCATTTGGGCTCAAATGGTCCTCAATGTTATCAAACATAGTACATATATGTTTGTAAGTGAAATTTCATATCAATCTGCCCTATGGGTACATATGTCAAAAAATTACACTTAATAAGTATATGTATCATTTTGATATAATGTGAGTACAAAAACTGTATACTTGTTAAACTCTTGTAAATTAGAGAAGAGTGTCATACGTTCATTAGTAACTGGCTGTCAAGGGTATTTCCCCAAAAATACATGCTCTAGCATATACAACAGGTAGACTCTCACCACGCCTTCATCGCCTAATTGATGAAGTAAGTTATTGAGCACGGTCGTAAGGTTAGCCATAAACATCGAACGTAAAAGCGGCTCAAATGGAAACACACATTTTCTGATTGCTGCAAAACCAGAACTGGGTTGGAAATAATCCCTAAATCGCAAACCGTGACCAAGCATAATGATTTCCTGTCAAAGAAAACTCGATAGTCGCCAATCGGAAATAAAAGCTCCTCTAGGTCAACTAGATCAAAAGTATTAGCTTCCTTGAACATAAGAGAATGATATAGTAAAGGGTGACCTTCGACACCCATTGGCATGTTCACATAATCACCAAAACATGATTGTCTAAACATTACCCCACAAATTGGTCGGTTTTGTAAGAGCACCATGATTTCACGCCCAAGTTCAGGTTTGCAGGTTCTAGTAGCAACTTCTTCGCATGTTCTATCGTGCTACAATCAAAAGAATTATTAGTTACGGATTTTTGTATGTATATTTTGGAACGGATTTATGGTTTTTGATTGTATTCTGGAATTAGGGTTTTTGATTGTATAGGAATTAGGATTTTTTGTATGTATGTTCCGGAATCCAAAAATTGGGTATAGTATTCCGAACCGAAATTCCGAACCCAATTCATTGCATTTCGAACATGATTTTCGGATTTCGAACATAATTTTCGGAATGTAACATCCCAAAATTCAAGACCAAAAATGTTGTTTTAATTAAGTTATTATAAAACCAATAGTATAAGAAAACATCCATAATAACACATCATGACCAAATCAAAGTAGAAATCATCAAAACATGTTATCATAAAACAATATAAGAGTGTAATCCCGAATATCTCATGTGCGGAAAACCATAGTGTGATGCGCTACGATCGAGTTGGCTCCTTTCCTTTGAAAATGTAGTACCTGAAACCAAAACTGAAAACCGTAAGAATGAAGCTTAGTGAGTTCCCACCCCCCCCCCCCATCATAGTACATACCACATAATGGCTAACCCTCGGTATCTTTCAACCGGTATCTGTCTGGCATATCTGGGAGCTGGGTTGCCCTTCTGTATCTTTCAACCGGTAATCGGGAACTAACCTCCCCTTCGGTATCTTTCAACCGGTAACCGGGAGCCAACCTCCCCTTCGGTATCTTTCAACCGATATCTAGGGACTATTTCACCCTTAACAATATCACATAATAACATGTCATAAACATACTTATTCCATGATAACATAACATAAAGATGTTGATCACATAATAGCATATCATAACCATACTGGTCACATAATAACATATCATAAACATACAGCTAGGCATGCATGGGTTCTATCAACCCCTTCGGTATCTTTCAACTGGTAACTGTCTTCGGTATCTTTCAAATGGTAACTAGGGACTATTTCACCCCTACTACTACTAACACATATCTCATAGCATCCCAACACATAAAGCATATCAAATAGTGGCAATCATATCAAACATAATAACCTACTGGTAGGCCGACATTAGTTCCTTAGACCCACCCCTACTGGAAGGTAACTCACCTCACTCTACTGAAGTCCCATAGACACAACCCCTAGTTACTGACTGACAGATTCCCAAACTGTCAATATCAAAAATCACCCAATTAATAATTGGGTTCCAACACATAACCATAAATACATACATGGGGTAAATACTACTTTACCACTAGCTTAGCTTTATTCAAGCCCAAGGCCAATTCTAAAGGTAAAAAATTGAACTATGAGTCAAAGCCCAACATATGGCCCAATTTTCCAAATAGGGCCCAAACCTTTACAAGGTCTTACCATAAGGCCCAACCGTTTAGTCTAGTCCAATATTCGACATCCTAATGGCCCAATATCGCATAATCATGAAGGCCCAATTATGGCCCATCTATGGCCAAATTTTCCAAAATGGGCCGAAACCCTCGCATATGGGCCTTATCCTAAATCCCATTAAATTATTCTAGTCCATATGATTATTCTTGGATGGCCCACCAATAACCCAATCATCAAGGCCTAATACAAAACCCTAACAATAAACCCAAGTGAAATTATGGTTTCACATACAATGACAATTAGGGTTAAGTGTTTTCTCACTTACCCCATTAAGGACTTAATCCATTAAGTCCATCACTCCTCTAAATAAATCATACGGTGTAATTGGGCTTAATACACAATTCCATTCTAATGGCCCAAATGTGGGTCCTGATAAGTCCAAGCCCATAAATCCAATATTAGGATTTTCTAAACCCTAATTAGGGTTTCCAACCCATCTTAACCCAATAGGCCCAATAGCAAGGTCTTTTGATCAATTAGGGTTCATTAGG